GATGCATGTGGTAAGTTTTGGATAACGAGAAATGGGTGAACCAGTTCTCGTTGATTCCAGTTCAGTTTTAGGTTAATGACTCCTTCTGCGGTCATTACCTGTGAACTATTGGGAACTAATGGAAAGTGGAAAGCTTTTTTAATTAGTTCTAGACCAACGTGTTTGTGAACCAAGGTTTCGTAGAAAGCTCGGTTAATTGCTGATTTATCTGTCCACAGAGACAGTACAGCATCGTTGGTGTGGGACCCTTGGATCTCTACACCCTTAACTACCAGTGGTAGGTAGTGTTTGGTGGACTCTGACTGTTCCAGCTCACAGAGGAGGCTGTCTTGTTGAGTCAGAGTTTGGACCACTTGGGTTTCTTTGGTTTCACATGGTGTCAGAGGAGTACTCACCGGGCTCGTGTCCTCGGCTGAGGAGTCCTTTGTGCCTTCCGCGGTACCTGCTGTTGGGCAGTCTGTGTCACACTCCGGAGGCGTTTCTATTGGCAGTGGTTTGCTCACTGTTGTCCACATTGTTTGATCACCATAATCTATAATCGCGTTAAAGCGATTTATAAAATCCTGGCCAACCAAAAATGGGAATGAGTCAACATGGGTCACGTGTACCGGGTGGTACAGTGTCATATTGCCAATCTGCATGTGAACCATTGCTATAGCTGTCAGGGTTGTTTTCATTTCTGAGAGACCCTGCATTTCTATAGCACATTCAGAGAGAGGTATTATCCTGTTAACACTGGCAGCGGCCGTCCTCAGCTCCTCGAACAGTTTAGCTGACATAATTGTTATGTCTGCCCCACCGTCCAAGAGTGCTTCGTGTGTGAGGACACCTTCGAGTGTTACTGACAGGTACGCCTTTTTGGCGACCCCCCTTCTGATAAAGTTACACAGAAACCTCTTGGGTTTTCTCTGACGCTTCTTCACGCGTTCAGCCTTATCTGTGTAATCTTGATTTGTCTGAACCGTCAGCACAGCAGAAGCTGTTTCTGAGTGTTCAAACTGCGATGACTCGTCATCGTTTGTGTGTGTGTTTACCCCCCCTTCTTCTGATGAGGGGTTGTTTGAGGCAACAACAGTTATGTCTTGGTGTGTTTCACCGACATCTGTTATGTTGTCATTCGCGCCCTCAGATGTAATGGGAATTACATCACTGCATAGTGCTCCTGGCTGGGTTCCCGTGTCAGTGTGTTTCAAAGTTTCTAACAACCTGCGTATTTTCTCTGTCTCTTCCGAGTTCAGAGGTGTAGGGCCTTGTTTCTGGAACTTTGGTGATTTTTTCGCCTCGGTTCGTTTCGTCCGAGGTGGGGGACGGTCAGGTACGTCTTTCGGGGGTTCCTTTACGTACTGCCCCTGATGATATGGTTTCCCATATCGTTGCGTCCTACGCTCACCCCATTTACGATAATCACGTTCATCCTCTGAAAGAGGAGCATTTTTGTCCCAACGTGCACCTTCATTACGTGGTTTGTTATTTTGAACAGACTGTTTTCTCTCTTTCTTAGGAGGAGGTGGCGAAGCACGCTTTCCTTCTAATTCTAGGGAGTGGGGTTTAACCTTTACACTTGGAAACACTTCAATGGGCGTCTTATCATGAGAACATGCTTCAAACACATTCACAGCACACTGTTTAATCTCACTGATGGATTTTTCTCTGAAATTTGCCATCATTTGTACTGATTTTTTAAAATCAGAGTGGAGATTTTTGCTGAAAACAAACTTAAAACCATCATCTTCTTCCATTCCGGTCTCATTTCTGTTACCGAAATAAGCTTGGAAGATTCTTTTGTAATAAACTTTTGGATGTTCATTTTTGCCCTGCGTGACCTTGTCAGCGGCTGGGAAACCAGCAGGTCCTGTGCAGGAATCATACTCTTTGATCAGAGCTTCACACAGAAGTTTGTAATCCTTTCTCGTTGCATCAGGTAGACGCTCGATGAAGGTGAACACCTCTCTGTCCGAAGTGAGTCGTATCAGACTGATTTTATCTTCTGCCGTAGCATTAGGATAAGCTCTCAATCTGAAATCCAGATCTCTGAGGTACGCTTTTGTTCCTGCCGACCCCATAGGGCCGGGAACGAAACGTTGTACATATTTTGAGACTTTCTGCAAATCATCCATTGAAGGAGACTGTATCAACGGTCTCACATGCGTGATTGGTGCAGATTGGTCGAGGCCTGCCCCTACCGCCCATGGTGGGGGTGGGGGTGGCTGATAAGGAGGAAGAGGTACATATCGGTGCAGGTCTGTCCCTACCATCCGTGATGGTGGTGGGGGTAGGGGCATGGTGTCAGGAGGAAGAGGTACATATTGGTGCAGTTCTGTCCCTACCGCCCATGGTGGGGGTGGGGGTAACGGCGTGTTGTCAGGAGGAAGAGGTGCAACAGCATCTGTCTGGAGAGTTTGTGGCTGTCTCGGACCATGATACTGTTCGTCTTTGAGTCTCAGACCAGCCCGCCCCATATCAGAAATCTGGTTTGTAGCTGTAGCTAAATTCTCCTCACAAGCTTTCAGGTCCTCCTGTGATGTCTGATATTTACTTTTTAAAATCAGCCATTGTCGGAGTATTCCCATCTTGTCTGCCTTGCAATCGTCCAGCTCCTTCAATGCGATCTGTAACTGTGCTTTTAGCACATCGTTATCTGAACGCGAGGCTCGGTACGCTTGTTCTCTATCCTCTGCTTCCGATAGTGATGCTTCAAGTACTTGTAGTTTGCTGTTCAGCAAAGCAATTTCTGCACTTGTATCTTGCTGTAACTGAAACATCTGTTCATAATGTTTCGTCATGAGGACCTCGTGTTCGCTTCTAAATTGACGGACGTATTCTTCCGTTTTTTGAGCCAACACTATTTCACTGTCTAACCTTTGTCTGAGGTTATCAGTTTTCTCAACAGCCTTATAGAATGACTCTTTCAGCAAAATTGCAATTTTAGCCAGCTTTTCATAACTTGACTTTGTGATTTCTGTAGAGGTCACACTTTCTGCAACCTCCTTCAGATTGTCCGCTAACTCTTTTGGGTTCATGCGCTCTGTCTGAATCATATATGGATGTAAGGACGCTGCCAGTAGCGCGAACGCATTCTCCAAGCAGTCCGCCATTCCTTTTGGGTCAAAATCTTTTTCTAACACACCTGTCATGTTTTCACTGTGTAGCAATTTATCTGTTTTAAACAGTTGCAAGCTTTAGATATTTTACAGGTAAATATTTGTATTCAAGTCAATGAGTTTTCACACTTATTTTAGCTTTGGGTTTACACAGAAGTACTGTTATAAGTCACTTATTCAAATGTGGGTACCTTATTCAGGTTTTACCCCAATTCATGAATATTTAAGTAAACTCACAGTCTGTACGGGCCACCAGTTGTAGTAGTCACGCATGTTTTAAAAATGGCCTGTTGCCTATATCTGTGTTCTAGCTTCTACAAATGTAATCTCTAAACTTGTGATTAAACTAAGATTCCAATCTGAATCTTTAAAAAGAAACGTCAGTAGCTGACAGATTTAAAACCGGTGACATTAGTACATGAAATAGTTGACACTGATTGTAAACAAAGTGACTCAACAAATTCACCTCAATTTCTTTATGCTCAACAGACGACCAATCGAAATAAAGACACTTAAATATAATTAAGGTCTTTAGTTTATATACATAATGCATTAATTTTAATCAAGCAATTGTAATAGTGGCTGCATTTTGTAAAAAAAAAAAACCAACAATAATAATGTGTTTTTGTTTGAAGCAGTAAAACTGTGGAGTTTTTGCTCTTAATTTTCCTACTAACAGTATATCATGCTTAATCACAAGTGATAAGAAATCTCATACTGAATTATTAGCCAGACTAGTAAATACAAAGTGAAATTAAAATATGCACAAGTTGTTTGTAAAATAAACTGTTTAGAAAAGAAGTACAGCAAAGTTTATCCACTCTCCCAATATTTAAAAATCTTGTGCAAAATAAACCAATATACATTTGTTTTTGTTAAAAGGTGAGATTAAGAGCATAGAAAGATGTGTAGAGAAACAATGAACAGTCTTTTCAGGCTGTTTGTTTTATTTTTTATTTTTTTCCAGCACAAAAATTCCCATTTGGGCTGGCAGTCAAGCAGAGAATTAAGGGTATAATCAGAAGTGAAGATAACCATCTGGACTGTATTTGTGATTAAATGTGGAGGACAGGTAGGCAATGCTCTTATTAAGTGCTGTTGTGCTGAATAAGGGCCCTTGGAGTTAAGCGTCTTAAAAATTCATGACATTGAAAACTACGACAAAGACAGTCAGCGATCCGTCAGCAGCCGTGGCTCACAGTGCGGTCAAGGATGCACCTGGGTGGTCAATTCTGAATTTATCTGCATGCTAGCAGGAAAATATCCCCATTGACCCTCTTTTAGTTCAGAAGAAAGAATAATTATTTAAGCATCATTGTCATTTAAATATTCTTTGTTGTTCCTGCTGTAATAATTTCTGATAAACACTCTGTACATTGTAACGGGCACAGAAGTGTTAAACTGCACATATCCAATAAAAGCAGACATGGTCAAAGAACTCTGGGTGAACTTCTAAAGCACTTCAAAGCATCGAGGGTGAGCAGAGGACTCCGTTTCCTATAATGAAGAGGAGACAGTTAATCTAGCATTAATGCCTTTTTTTTCCCACGAGGACACAAGATGATTCAGAAAGGTCTGAAGAGGTCTCCATCATGCATATGCACTGCCTCTCCTGTCTCTCTCTTCCTCTGTCCACGGTGGTACCACAAAGAGAACTTAAATGAAAGGGGCGTCAAGCAAACATTGATTTCTAACAGGGGGACTCTCTGGATCAGCATGCAGCTTGGTCTGAGCCACGTCTGCGCGTCGGTCAAGGACGCTGTGTGTGGGAGCATAAACGGAACCTGGCTCTCGCCGCCAGGCTCCAAATGAACCTCCACAGCAGGACGCAGGGATCAGAGAGCAGTGGGAGTCTCCTTTCATCTCTTGGGAGATTAGCACTCCCATAGGGAAGAAGAGTGTGTGTGTGTGTGTGTGTGTGTGCGCTGGGTTACTCTCAGAAGTATGTACCTTTTAGCCACAGGCTACACACTTCCTGCTCCTGCTCCCTGCTGAGAAACTCCCCCAAGGCCACAAATGCAGAAGCTTCAACAGGCAAAACAGGGATGAAGGCGAAGACATCATCCGTAGGTGATGTTTCTTAAAATAAACATTAAAGAAGTTTGTGAGCTTCTTCCTCGTGTGCATCGTAGGTGCTAATTTGTTGTGTTGCACTGAAACTGGGAATTCAGAGTATACATGAGAGCTCCACGTTATGGTGAAAGACAGCATTTCTACCAGGCTGAGCATAATGTAACAGTGAAAATGTGATGACATGTAGTTGGCTGTTTGGTGCAGGCATGATGGAAACAAAGGCTTTCTGTGTCCACTCAGTTTCACTGAAGCCACAGTGCCATGGGTAAAGATAGAATAAAGAGCAGGACCATTTGGGAGGCAGCACTGTGACAGTTTGTGACATCTTGCATCATCAGCCACTTCACACCATGACACCTTGTTGGAGCGTCTACAACAGAGGTTCACAGCAACACAGAGCTAAATGACAACCTGCTGCACACTCAACAACAGAACCTGCAGGTTTAGCCCTTTTTCACAGCAGGTTTGAACTCATAAAAGCAAAATATGGTGTGGTAAATTGTATTAATAGTTAGCTGATGAACCAAGTTTGATCAATTATTATAGTTATCCGTGGCAGTAAGTACAAGATTAAGCTCACAAACTTGCCTGTGAGGTGACAACACTAAGACTGTTTCACTGCGATGGAGGTGACTTTTCATGTATTAACCAAAAGGTTTCATGAAGAAAGATTAGCCATGCATTTATTATTATATATATTTTGTTGGCAGTGAACACAACCCCTCCTAACAAAGCTTAAGGTTATTTTCACACCAGATAGTCTGGTGGACTCGGTTCGGTTGGGGACCAATATTCATGACGTTTTGTTTACATGTGAGCTGGTGTGTTTGCATTCACACTGCACTGTGCAGTCGAGCCAACCTGTTGAACCAACCTGTTCCCCCACTCGCCTGTGGGGGCGCTGCACCAACAACTACTGAAAGAAACTACACAAAAACCTTTGAAGAAGATACTTCTTCTGGAAATAAAAACAAGAATGGAGTGGCGTCAAATTTTAGCAGTTTTAGGAGTTATATTTTGTCATTTTTCAACAATGGACTCAGCATGAGCAGAAGATGAGGCAGAAGACCATGGAGGATGTTTTTCACACAAGGCAGCTGACAGCTCAATATGAGGTAAGAGAAATGCGTGTTTGTCCTGCGCTGTACTCCACTTCTTGCTTGTGGAGCGGGGCCCGGTCTGCTTGCATTCACACTGTACTCGAACCGCGCTGGAGTTCTCTTCTACCGGACCGAGACCTAGGTTTTAAACCGGGCCAGAGTTCGCCTTTTTGTTCCGTGACAGAGTTCGATGGCGCGTTCACACCTCCCCAAACGAACCGGACTTCCTAGGCAAACGGGCTAGAGTTTGGGACAACAGGCCTGGTGTAAATGTGCCCTAAAGGTCCTTCAAAATGTGCATTTTATTTTATCAGAATTGTTTCTATTGCTCCCATACACTCACAGTAACATTACTGTCCTTCTTAGAGGAAAACTGACTCTATTGAAATCCAATAGTAATGCATTTTTCAACCCTCATTAATCATATCATAAAATAATTTAAAAAAAATAGTTAAGCTTTTATTTTACTTTAATCTTTACTTTTGTTTTTTAAATGAGCTCATTAAGTGGTGCTCCACTTTCATATTTGAGGGACACCTTCAAAACAGTTGACAGGGGACTGGGAACCCAGAAAAGTTGCGTCCATCACGAGTGGACGTTGCTGTGGGGTCCTGCCTCTCAACTCGTTTGACAAAACTGTCTTAGTTGAGATGTAAAGAGCAAAAACACACACATTCTGCACAAGTTTACATTTAATACAAAAAGCATGTTCTTCTGCAAGTAGGCTGAAGAATTGACCACTTGATGGAGTACAACTGACCAGCTGGCTTGACCAAAAAAACATGTCACTGTTGACACGTTCTTCTTCTTTAAGACTTATTGTTATAAAGTTAAAAGATCTTCTGAGGCTTAAACACCAATATTCTCTGTTGTAAACTGCCAGGCTCTGTAGAGCAAACAGCTATTTTTAGTGTTATAATTTGGCTTCTGTTTTTTCTATATATAAAAAAAACAAGCTAAAATGTCTGCTGTGATAAAGGTTAACTAATTATTGTATATGCATACACAAATAAAAGCTGTAAGCCTTCATTGTACACTGTCTACTTATCTTCTGCATTGTAGCTTACCTCAATAAACCTTTTTTTATAAAGACTGTGACATACTTTTGTATAAAATATTGCTGCAGGATGAATAATACACAAACTAGTATACACAATGCCTGGCCAAAACAAAGTCAGCACCAAAAAAAGGTCACACACTAATATATTATTGGACCACCTTTAGCTTTGATTACGGCATGCATTCACTGTGGCATTGTTTCGAGAAGCCGATAATGTCACATATATAATTCGATAATGTCACAAGATCTATTTCCATCCAGTGTTGCATTAATTTTTCACCAAGAACTTGCATTGATGATGGCAGATTCTGACCACTGCGCAAAGCCTTCACCAATACATCCCAAAGATTCTCAATGAAATTAAGGTCTGGACTCTGTTGTGGCCAATCCATGTGTGAAAATGATGTCTCATGCTCCCAGAACCACTCTTTCACAATTCGAGCCCAATGAATCGTGGGATTGTCATCTTGTGCATGTGCCATCAGGGAAGAAAAAAAAAATCCATTGATGGAATAACCTGGTCCATCCATCCACCCATCCATTATCTTTACCCGCTTATTCCATTTTGGGTCACGGGGGTTGCCGGTGCCCATGTACAGCAATCACTGTGCGAGGGGCGGGGTACACCCTGGACGGATCGCAAGTCCATCACAGGGACACATAGAGACAAACGAGACAAACAAACATTTACTCTCTCACTAACACCTAGGGACAATTTAGAGTTACCAATCAGTCTAACATGCATGTTTTTGGTCTGTGGGAGGAAACCGGAGTACCCGGAGAAAACCCACGCATGCACAGAAAGAACATGCAAACTCCACCCAGAAAGGCCTCTGGACCGGGGTTTGAACCAAGGACCTGCTCGCTGAGAGGCAGCAGCTCTACCAGTTGCACCACCGTGCTGCCCAGAATAACCTGGTCATTCAGTATATTCAGGTAGTCAGCTGACATTATTTGAGCACATACTGTTGCTGAACCTAGACCTGACCAACTGCAGCAACCCCAAATCTTAGCACTGCCCCCACTGTACAGTACTTGTACAGTAGCTTGATGTCAATGATTTGACCCTTCTCAAACAGACTGACATCTTTCCCACGACCACGTGATGTGTCTTTCAACTTGGTTGTTTAAGAAATGAGAAGCAACTCATTGCACCAGTTGGGGTTAAATAACTTGTTGCTAGCTGAAAGATAATCGCCCATGCAGTAATTCTCCAATAGGAGACTCGTACATATTTGCTTAGTTAAATCCAGTTGGTGACTATTTTTGGCCAGGCAGTGTATTTATATCTTTATAGACTAAATACAAAAATATATATTATTGTGTGCAAATATGCTAAGCAGAAGACACAAGACAAGCCACAACTATTCATTCAAACTTTATTTACAGGTTAATCCCATTGAGCCTCAGGGACTCATTTACAAGAGAGACCTGAATTTAACAAAGAATGATGACAACGGTGGACAATCATAAAAAGCATACAGTTGATTGATAGGTGGTATTCAAGCGTAGTGTACAGAAAACATAAAGATACCAAACTGTATGTATTTTTCACAATATCTGAAATTTTATTCAAATATAACGACTGTATGTCCGACCCTGATTCACATGAAGAGCCTACACATGCGTCGTTGTTTTCTGCCTCACGACCTGGCACGCAGAGCAACTTCAGGCTTTGTCAGAAAACAATGTGTGTCACTTTGTGCATGCCTGATCTGTTATTGATGTCTTTATGCTAGGAATAAGAATAAGTCCCGCTGTGCTCTGTGTCCTGGATACCAAGAACAACTAACTGTTCAAAAGTGCCTGTCTGCACATATCGAGGCGATTTGTCTCACCACAGAGGCAATTTACCAAGATTTTTGTTTGTCTGCTACAGTCACAATAAGAATACATCTCTCCATATATCCTATTTACTGAATAAAAGTTGGACACCTATTATTTGTTCTTTGTACAAGTGAGGGATTCTTTCAATTCTGATGAGAAAGTTGTTCATAGAATTGTGTTCTTACACTCCATAGTATGTCTGCTGTAAGACACCTTGTTCCCAAATGTCTAACTCTATCAAGCAGTTAAATGTGACCATCCATCCAAAGCTCGTCCTTTTAACACAGTTATTTTAAAAAAGACCAAGCCTCGCCACTGCTCAATGCTTCAGCAGGCGTCCACCTGCAGAGTACCCACAATGCCTGGACGCCAGGCTTTGGGCAGCAAACTGAGCTGCTCATAAATGAGTAATGGCAGTCACATTACCATTTGGTGGTAGGGCAGGCTAGGGGCATGAAGCGGGGGGGGGGGGGGGGGCAGGGAGTGCAGGCGCTTCCTCTGTCTTATAAAACAGCAGCTGATTAATGTTTGATTCTCACTGGCCTCATTCTTCCAGCAGCCCTCTGCACAGCTAATCTAAGGAGTGGGTGAGAACAAGAGCGATGAGCTGCAGAAGTGCAGTGAAGAAAAACAGTTTGTACACACACTGTTTTGAGAGGTTGAGCTCGAAATGTGCCGCCTTTTCGTCACGACTTAAAAGTAAGAAAAATAAGGAGGGTAGAGCAGCGAGATCAATCCAAACTGCTGCCATGAAATAAACCAGTGAGTGATGGAAACCAACACTGGACCTGAACTTGTCTCAACTTTATTGTGAAGCACTTTTAAAGCACAACTGCAGCCCAAAGTGCAAGCAAGATTATGAGCAAGGCTTTTTTAGAGAATAATTCAAACAAAAAGCAATTTGCAAATA